GGTATAGACAAGAAAAGGGGTATCCAGGATTCCAGACTGCTGCCCGACTGTGTAACACCAGTTCTCCCACATTAACACTCCCCCATTATTTTCAGGGAATATTGATGCCAGAAGGGAATTTAGAGGCAGTGACTGAAGTCCTTTCGGATTCCGAAAGACAGAGCTGAGACCCAAGAAAGGGAGCAATTGGCCCAAGCTAGTCAAATCCAACCCAGGTGTCCTGACTGCCAGTCCCCTGTGCTTTCAACATAATACCGGGTTGTGTCAAGGGCGGAGGAAGCAGCCCAGGTCCTGAAGAGGGTCCTCCTTTGCCCAGTATGCCACAGCAAATTTTTGGCTCTGCCTGAGCCTGGGACATTTAACTACGGACCTTTTTTGGAACTCCTGGACAAAAGACAACCACCTGACTGCTTCATGATTTAAATAGCCAAATAATGCCAAATTGAATTTCCGATGACAGAGTAAGTGGTAGCTTTGGGACCACAAGCCAAGAAAACATTTTTCCACTGATGGTTAATGAATGGAATTAAGGGCAGGTTTACATTTGGAAGCTTGAGGACCAAATTTTCGTCTTGCACTTTTTCTTCAACTTGGCTCAGGATTTTCAGATTATAAATAAAAGCGTTAATAATGTCAGTTTCTGTTCAAAGTTAGTTTACCCCAAACCAAAGACCATTTTTTGGGATATGTGTATGTGTCCTGTCACTGAGTTTTTCTTTTCTTAGTAGGGATGTGACGACACATGTCCTTCTAAGTGGCTTCCCTTGTGAAAGCATGACTTTTCCATTACTTAAGATATAAGGATGATAATCTTTTGGATTCTATATCAGCAAGATTACAAAGAGCCTCATCTGTGTAATCTTCTTTATCTCAGTCATATTCTTGTAAAATAGAGAGAGGTTGGGATTTGTACCTTTCTGCCAACTATGAGGACAGCAAGTCAGGGCAGCAGTTCAAGGACCCAAGGCAAATAGAGATTTCCCTCGTAAATGTCTCTTAAAAAGGGTAACTTCTCAGTTTTCAGAGCTTTTCTGGTGTCTGCTCTTTTAAAAATATAATCAGCCTAAACTACACTTTATGCCAAAGAGGTGGGGTGACAAGTTCTGCTTCCCTTTACCACCCTCTGGACATTTCTCCCCATACATGAGTTTTGCCCGGTGTCGAACTACCCCTGAATTCTTGCCCTCCCTTGTCTGGGCAGCTCACTCGATACTGTGTTAGATTAGCTCTTGTGGCGGTGATTTCTGTTTGCTTTCCTTGTATTTATTTATACCTCCCACAAGAACTGCTATCTAACCTTCACTGTTTCGGAGTCACGTCCCCTGAGCTGGATTTTAAGCTCCTTGAAGGCAGAAATTGCCCACACATCTAGCATATCCCTATGCACAGAACAGAGGTTCAGTAAATATGGATGGAATGAATGCTGGTGTTGAATGAGTTGGCAGGGGGGAGAAGCTGTAAGCAGATAGTGAAGACAATGGCTTCTCTCTTCATTTTCCCCCATACACATGCATTTTATTTTTACTGATAATACTTCATATAATATCAGGATTGTGCATTGTTTTTTGCTGGTGGGTGGTCATGCATGCGTTTGACTTTCAGGTTAGACTGTGGGTAGAGGGACACGAGTGGACTGGAAGAATAAAAAGGTCAGGGGGAGAAAAGATCAGATGGCCAAGTCAAAGAGAAAGAGCTTTCTCTAGAAAGACTAGACTCTTGTCTAGTCCTCGTTTTGTTACTAATTTGTGTGATCTTGGGCAACTCACTTCACCTTTCTGAGCCTCCATTTGTCCACGGTACCCAGGATATTATAATTTCTGCCATGGGAGGTCAGCTGAGCTCACACCTGGGAAGGTCCTTTGGACAAAAGAATTTAGGGTATTGTACCAGCAGGCCGAGGCTGGGGCCGGGTGGATCAGCTTTCAACTTTAGATTCAAACTGGATTTGGATGAAAAGGCTAGAAGGCTGAGTTCTGAGAATCATAGACTATCAGAGCCGGCAGATGTCTTAGAAACCATTCTAGTTCAACCTCCTCATTTTACCCGAGTACGCTGAAGCCGGGAGAGCTGATTTTCCCCCATGGTCTCCCCGAAGGGAGCTGGATTCCAGGTTGTCTTTTCACCGTGTCCTGCAAATCTCCACTTAGAAAGCAAAGTTCATTTGCTCTTGTCACTGGAGACAAGAAGCCCCTGGCCTGTGTCCCAGCAAGGAAACGATCGGGACATTTGTCTGAGTCTTTTTGGGTTTCTAAAATTTGACCCACCATTTCGGTTCATTTATTGCTCCCCTTTTACCCAGGGGGGCGACAATCTCCTAGCCTCTGTCTCAGTGCCTCCTGTATTTGCCGCTCTGCTAGGTGCGGTGGGGGGAGGGGACCAGAAAAGATTAAGACCCATCCCCTGCTGTCAGAGATCTGAGTGTGGGAGACAGGACTAACAATGCGAGAACAATGGGAGACAGTCTGTGATTCAGGATAAAATGAGTAGTGCAGGCAGTATCTGGTATAGAAGTTCAGAGGAGGGAGAAAGCTCTGGGAGCTGGGGCTGGGGACTAGGGAGCCAGCAGTGTCACAGGGGACCTGAAGGTTGGGTAGGACTGATATGTAGATGTGGGGGAGGGCACTAAACTCGAGGGTGTAGGCCCCCATGTGGACCAGTGCACTCGGATGCAGAACTGGGTAAAGATGATGGGTAGCATTCATTTACTTTCTCTGCAGAGGATACTACAGAGGGTTCCACAAAATTCAAGTCATTTACAAGTGCATCACCCTAGGAATTGGAGGATAACCGATAGCCCTTCAGTGAATGGAAATTGAGGCACAAAGTGGTTCCATAAGTGGCCTAGGGTGACGGGGCCAGTAAAGGCAATAACAGCCCGGGGCCTAAAACCACTGGACTCTCCTACCTGTGAAAAAGAGGAATTCGGGACTCAGGTGTGGAAGTTGGCCGGGCTACAGTTATGAAAGAGGGTCATTTTGCAAACACAGGGCCCCTCTAGGCCACATTGCCAACTGAGGTTCAGCATGAAAACCAGAGCAATTAATGAAGCCATTTACCAAATTTTATAACCTCATTCTCACTTCCTTGGAAATAGGAACTTGAAGTCTCTGCCAGGAGCCCCACAACTTGATCCTTAATGGTCCTTGGTTATGATGCGGAGGCTTTAACAAAGCACCTAAGGAGAATGGAGTGGCCCTAGAATTAATTCCTGTTTGTTGCTGTTCTTTATTAATTAGCACTCGAAGAGCCTCAGGCCTGTGGTGGAGACCATACAAAGCTTGGAATTAGATAAAGCTATTCTGCTCTGAAGCTCTTTTTGTTGGGAAAACCAGCCTTGGAAAGGATGGAAGGACAATGGCCTGATAATACAGTAGATTGTGTTTTATGTTTTGAGTCTGGCTTGCAGCCAACACCAGAGAGTGTTTTCTAGGCAAAGTGCCTAACTGTTTTTTTGGATATTCTCCTAACTCACTGTGAGTCTTCAATATTAAACCAACATGAGGTAGGTGCTGAGGTCCCTGTCCTGCTTCCTTGTCCCAAGAAGAGCAAAGTCTGAGGATAGAAAGCAAGGCAGAGGGGGACGCTGTTCCAATCAGAGGATCTTATCCCATTCCTGGGTCCCTCCAATACCCACATGGTCCTGGCTGGGCTTCAGGGGCAGGGCACTCAGCCCCATGCGGGGTGGGAAGCAGCAGCTCCCTTGCAGGGACAGGGGAGGGAAAAAGGTCAGGGGATCTTCTTTTGAGGCAGCAAGTCTACCACGGAGGGCATGGCAGGAGCAAAAGGGAGCAGGAGGGCCCCAAGAGGGAGTGGCTGTGGCCCGAGGTAAAGAGAGAAAAATGATGGAGCAGACTCTAGGAGGTGGAAGAGCCCAGAGAAGAGGGCAAAAAGGCCTTCATCTTCAGGCTCTGAAGTGGGGAGTGGGACTAAAGTGGGAACTGTGGCTAAAAAAGGGAAGGGAAGGGGACATCGTGGTCCCGCAGGAGTCTAGTTTCAGGGCGGAAAGGAGGAGACGCGCCAAGGAGAAGGTCATACCCAGCAAACACCCCGCGAAGCCAAGCCGGCACTGCCGCTCGGCGCTAGACAGGCTTATTCATTCCCCAAGAGCCTGGGGAGGGCTTGCTGAGCGCCTACTATGTGCTCGGCGGACGAAGACGCGCCGGGGGGAACCGGGACACGGCAGCTGGAGTCGGCCAAAAAGGCTTCAGGGAAGGGGCGAACTGTGTAGACGGCGGTGAAGGAAGGTGGAGGTGCACGCGTGCAGGCTGGAGGAACGAAGAACGCGAGGCAGGCTCGGGAGGAGGGGAAGGAGGCGGGGACTGAGGCCTGAGGAGGGAGGAGGAAGAAGGCCAGGCGGAGGGACAGCGTGGAGGGAGGGTGGGAGGTGTGAACGGTGGAAGCGGTGGGGCGGGTGGAGCGCGGGAGGTCGCGGCGGGGAGGCGGCGAGGCGGGGCATTCGCAGCCCGAGGGCGTTGTGGGGGGGTCGCGAGGCTGCGCGGGACTCCGGGGTGGGGGGTTGGTGGGAGGGGGAGGAGTGGGGAGCAGAGAGGGAGGGGAAGAAGGAGGAAGCAAGCGCGGCCGCTGCAGGGGGAGGAAGACCGGGAGGAGGAGCCGCGCGCGGTGGCGGCGGCGGCGGCAACTGCGGCCGCCGGGGGAGCCGAGCGCCCGGGCACGGGGAGCGCGGGGAGCCGAGCGGCCGCCGAGCCGGGGCCGCGGGCCGAGCTGCGGGTGAGTGGAGCCCCGAGGGGCGCGGCGGCCGGTTCCCGGGGCCGGGCGGGAGCCGCGGGCAGATGCGGCGCCGGGGCGGAGGGAGGGGGCCGGCCGAAGCCCAGCCCCCCAGCTGGCCCGGCCTCCCGCCTCCCCCTCCACTCCCCGCTGCTTCCTCCCGCCGCAGCTTGCGCCAGGGGGGCAGGTCCCGGGCGGGCCGCGGGCGGTGGGGGGGGAGGTGCTGCCCGAGGGCGGGCATCTGGGGCTGGGGGTGGAGCTGGGGGCTCGGGGGTGGACCCGGGGGCGGGAGGCCGGCCCGGGACGGCGCTAAATTGGCCGGAGGGGCCCGTCGGCGGCGAAGTTGCTAGCTGGGGGCAGAGACGGCCACGCGGTTGCAGGAGTAAGCGATCCCCCTGTGGCGAGTGCGTGAGACGAGGAGTCCGGCGTCCCTGCCATCCCCGTCGCCCTCCCCGCCTGACTGGCTCCGCTAGCTCCTCTCCTGGCCTCCGCGTGTCCCCTTGCTCTCACCCGCGCTGCTCCCCTGTTGGCTCCCGCTGCGCTGCCGGGTCCCCTTGGCCCTCGCCCTGACCCTTCCGGCCTCCGGCTTCCCCTGACCCCCGCCTGCTTCGCCACTGCCCCTGTTCCCCTTTTCTGCCCTCGCTAGTTACCCCGCCCCGCTTCGTAATTCCCGATGCAATTGCCTCTTTGAGACCTTTTTTTTTTTTTTCCTCTCCTTCCTTTTAGATTGGCCAACGGCTCCTTTCAACCCTGCCTCGTTGGTGGCCACTGGAGAAGCGCGGGGGGCTCCCCAGGCAGCCGTGGGGACAAGTTAGAGCCAGCACTTGACCCCGGGCCCCGCGTGTAGCTTCCCTCCCCCCTGCCCTAGGTGCCCCGCTGTCCGGAGGGGGGTGGCGCAGGTGCGGGGGTGTGCCCTCCGTACATGTCCCAGCACCCGGGCAACCCTTGGGGCTTGTGTTCCATCTCGCTCTCGCTTCCGGCACGGTGGTCAAGGGGAACCACTTGGCATCATGTCCCGGTATAGCTACCAAAGTCTCCTGGACTGGCTCTATGGGGGCGTGGACCCCAGCTTTGCTGGCAATGGGGGCCCCGACTGTGCTGCCTTCCTCTCTTGGCAGCAGCGGCTGCTGGAAAGTGTGGTGGTCCTGACCCTGGCCCTGTTGGAGATCCTGGTGGCCCTGCGGCACATCCTGAGGCAGACGAAGGAGGACGGTAGGGGTGGCCGTGGCAGCCAGCCAGATAAGGTGACCCAGCGGCCAGAGGAAGGCAAGGAGAGCCTGAGCAAGAATCTGCTCTTAGTAGCCCTGTGCCTGACCTTCGGGGTGGAGGTGGGCTTTAAGTTCGCCACCAAGACCGTCATCTACCTGCTCAACCCTTGTCACCTGGTCACCATGATGCATGTGAGTCTGTTGACTTTTTCACCCCGGCCGCCGTAGCTATAAGAGTCATTTTGTGTGCTCAGGACACTCGGAAGTGTAGGGCACTTCATCCTGCGGGAAGTGGGACCCTTAAAAATGTTTTCCAAGAGTGGCTGGTTTTGTGCAGATTCCAGATTTGGCTTCCTCTAACCTTTGCACCATGTGTCAGCCCTGCAGTGGAGGTGAGGAACATAGTGATAGAGCCCTAGGAACCCACTGGCATGCTGGTAGTCTGTCAACCCCCCCCCCCAGCCCTGTCCTGGCCTTTCACAATCTGGAAGTGCAGCCCCAGCCAGGTGCCCTTTCTGGGTCACATCTGGGGACCACAGCCAGCCCCCATCTCCTCTGCTGCAGTTAATTTCCCAGAGGCCTGATGACACTCTTTCCTGGAGGTGGTCATGTAAGGTTTCTTGTCTCCACTGTGGTACTTTGGGAGAAATACTTTAATGGGTTTCCCTTAATGACTCTTTCATTTGGGAGTTTTAGCTCTTAGGGCAAGGTCTGCCTTTGAACTCTGAGCCCCTACTAAGTGCGCTCTGAAACAGGCTGACTCCTGAACTTTGGGCTGGTGGTCTCTGTCTATGGTGAGAGGGTGTTTATTTTTTGCAGACCTCTCCATCTTTTTGCTCGTACTCTATTTCCTGTGGTCATGGTCCGGGGTGCTCAGAGAGCTGTTTTCTTTACCTCTCATTAGCGGTACTATGAGAAACAAATGGGATTGAAAAGGGAAGTTGCCAGATACATAAAAATAATCTGGGTGAGCACCAAGAGTGAGACTGTCTTTCTGTACTCAGCCTGTGTGGAGAGATGTTCTAAAACTATAAAATCATGGAGGAGAAGGAAGAGGAGAAAAGGAAAAAAAAAATCTTTTTTAGATTTCAGGCTGTGAGAAACCTGGTGTGTTTTATTCAGGGACGGTGTGGAACCTGTCATTAGCATCTTTATTGCTTTTTATATTTGTAGAAGTTTATTCTCAGGAGACTTGTGACAACCCTGTGTGGGGCACGAGGTTGAGATTATTATGTTGGTTTTACAGACCTGGTGGGGCCCAGGGACCAGAGGTCACTCACCTGCAGCCAAAAGATGAATTAGCATCAGAGTTGGAAAGCTAACCCACGCTCTTTGGGGTTGCAGGCTGTCAGTAGAATGAAAGGGCTGGGGGGCGGGCGCGGGAGGCTGAGGCTGATCTGATGGCACTGCCTACTTGTGGCTCCGATGCTTGCTGGGTCTGTGTTCCAGGTACTCTTGATTGCAGGTTCCTGGCCTCAGTTTCCCAATCTGTAAAATGTACTCAGTGGCCTAGTGGCCCTTTTGGTCTTTGCAGATGTGGCAGGGAGGTGCGGATAGCTGTGGAATAAAGAGGCTGTTATTGGTGGGGTGGCTGTCAGCACCGGGCAGGGCTGGAGGGCAGCATTTTTTTTTTTTAAGAGAGGGTTTCTGGGGATGTGATGCCATTCACAGGAAGCCCATGGCTCTCCCAGCTAGACCTTCTGGGTAAATTTGAGCCAGTCCTCTTTCTTTCTTTTGTATGAATGGGCTTTTTGTTAATGAGAGGAAACAACACATCTCAGCTGCTGCTACGTGAGGCTCTTGGGACAGGAGTGCTTTTTTTGGATGGCAGGTGGTGAGGGTCAGAGGGTGCCTCTTCTACAAAGGGGTCTTGAGGCCTCTGGCAGCCGCATATCTAGAAGGTCAACAAAGGACTAAATTCAGCCTGACTGGGGCTGCTGCTGGTGGGATGACATCAAACCTGGCAGCACCAGGCTTTTCAGTGGAAAGGTTTTTAGAAGCTTTCACAAGCCTCTGGAGACTTGGTGCTGGCATTAATTAGTTGTGCAACTTTGAGGAAAAGTCTGCTTGCTGGGCCTCAGTTTGCCCATCTGCAAAATGAGACAGAGCTGCATTCACAGGTCGGGGCAGTCAGCGTTCTCTGATTCTTTTCTCCTTAAGCAGTGGTCAGGGAAGCAACAGAGAGGCCCTCTGGAAATGCTGCTGGCCTCCGTGTGTGGGAAAAGGAAACTTGTTTCTTCTTTGCTGAGGTCAGGGAGCCCTGTTCATCTTCTGTTTCCTGTATCTCCCCGGTAAAGTCAACCTGACCAGACCACCCTTGGATGCACGTGTAGATGATGATGGCATGTAGGGCTGGCAGAGGAGTGGACACTTGGGTGGGGGGGGGGTGGCACTCTAGGGACTGCTTCCTGTCACCTGTACTCTTTCTTTTGTCCTGTGCTTCGCTTCAACTCTGAAGGCCTAGGGTGGAAGCAGAGAACAGAGCCAGGCTAAAGAATTCTTGATCCCAAACAGGATTATTCTCCTTTACTCTTTTCTCCTGTCACACTGCTTTGTGTCATTTAAATAGTCTCCTCAGGCCTGCTGTGGGCTGCAGCCTTCGGTCAGCCCCACAGCCCATACCCTACCTATAGCTCTTCCTGGGAAGCAGGGAAGCTGGGATTTTTGAAAGTTGGTATGAGTCCTGAAGACAAATGAACAGCAGATGGTTGGATGGTTGGAAACCGTTTTCTGACTTGATTGCAGCGAGGACTAAGGATAGCTCGTCTGGTTAATCATACCTCACACTTCCCTGACACTTTAGTGTTTATGAGGCCCTTCCACTGACATGATCTTGTGCAGGGCCGCGCTAGGTTAGCTGGGGCCTGGAAAGAGAGACGTTGAAATGTTTCCTTTGGCTGTGTATATTCCAGAGGGGCGATGTTGAGTACAGAGAAATGTTTTGGCAAGTGAACTTGCTGAATTAGGCTACACGATGGCAGGACATTCTGTGGAGTTCAGAGGTCCTGAAAAGGCAAGGGAGACCTTGGCTGAAATGAAAGGGACAGTTGAGCAGAAACATTTCTGATGTATTTCTCGCCACAGGATGACTCCATTTGGGCTTTGTAGAAAGGCCTTGTTCCTCAGAGTCTATGTCCGTTTCTAGCAAGGACGGTACTGCTTTAGGCCAGGAAGTGGGAGACTTGGAGGGAAATTGGTTCGTCTCCCCATCTCTCATTTTTTCAGTCCGTAAAGTATTTATTCCCAAGGCCTTTTTAAACAGCCCCTCATCATGGCCATGCTGCTCTTGGGTGACTGCCAGCCTCAGAAGCAGAAGGAAGGGCCATTCTTGCGGCCGAGTTCTGGTCTTGATTGATATTCCTGCTGTACGGTTTGGTTTTGGTCTCATCTGCTTTTTCAAAGGCCCCAGGACTGTGGATGACAGCGCTTTGTGTCGTCTGAGTGCCAGCATCTCCCCTGTCAGTGTAAGCCAGGACGTGTGAGGGTTCCCAGGAGCGCCAGGCCCCACACTCCGTGGTTGGGCCCCTCGGTGAATATCTGTGGTGTTTACCAATCACACTGTTTACCAATCACACCAGTACATATTTCTTCAGGCCTCGCTACTTCCCTCGTGTGTGTTACTTTGGGCAGGTGGGAGTGATAGGGAATGAATTTACTCAGGGATTATGCTAATTGCCCCAAATACCCCAGCAAGTTAGTAGCAGAGGTGGCTTTAGGACTGGGCTGCTATGGTGGGAATGGAGGCCTCAGCAGAAAAAGATTCTCAGAGCTACTCAAGTCCCAAAGTCTACAACTTCTCAGTGGGAGTGTTAAAACGCTAGACATTTGACTGCTTGTATCTTGGAAAGGCTGGGGTTCTTCAACTCGTGACCCTTTATCAATCTTGGGTCCAGTCATCACATCTCTGTCTTAGGGACAGAACAGAAAGATGCCACTAACGGGATCTTCTATGTTTTCATACAATTTTTTTTTTAGATTTGCCTTTGCTCTGGGGGTCCTATCTTCTTTACACTCTATTCCAAGTCTAATTTCCACCAAATGTGGCTGGCGTGCTTTTGCTTCACTGTTTGATTATCCTACTTCCTCCTTCCTTGCTGAAAGTGGAAGAACGGCACAGATTCAAAATGGTGCTGAGCTTTTTGTGATACCTTTTGGAGTGTTCCATTCGCCCCATCTTGGATTTGTTCTAGAGAAGGACCTGATGGATTTGAGAATGGGGCTTTTTGTGACCCCCACCCACCCCCGACTCCTTGACTTGAGAGACCAGCCACACCTCCTTATCCCCATCTGTTGTCTGGAGCGCGGATAACAGCTTCTGCTTGGAATTGACGTTGGTGGGTAAATGGGTACAATGAGGGATCCAGCCATCTGCTGACAGCTTATCAGATGGACTGCGTCCTGTGTCATGAGTCTAGGGGGACACAAGAAGATGATGTTTATGTGGGCCTCAGCAGTGAGGCATGACATTCCTTTTTAGTTTGTTTTATTTCTCCCCCAAGGAAATGCGCAGAGAATTTTTCCACCTTCCATTGTTACGGTCTTTTGGGGGTGTCCATTTTAAGGAGAAGTGGTATGGATTGGTGGATCAAACACCCCACAGATGGCCCTGGGATTGACCCTTATGATACGAGTTTGGCTCATGGCTTGCTATGGGAACCTGAGCAAATTATCTCATCTTTTCCTGTCTCCGCCTTCTCGGTGAAACCGGCTGTGTGGAAGGGGAGAGCATTTTAAGCCTCTGAGTGACTGTGGTCACTTAAACAGAGAAGCTGGGCAGAGCTGATCAGAGCTGGCAGATGAGATGTGTGTATGTATATATATATATTTTTTTAAATCTCAAACTCAGAAACTGACAAACCTCAACTCCTTTGCATCTTTGTTAGCTCTTGGAATTCATTCCTCTAAGCATTTCTGGTGCTTTTTTCCGGTTCCCAGCCCACGCCTGCGTACCCTCCTAAGGTACAGCCTCTGAAACTGGGCACTGCGCCCCCATCAGTCCATCCCCAGCACCTGCTGATACAGCCCAGTGTGGCACCTGTTTTAAGTACCAGTATGTTGCTGGCTCGTGCCCACGGGGTGCTGACCCGGCCCCGAGTCCAGTTATTCCAGTCATTCTGGTAACACCTTCTGTCTCCCTTTGTCAACCCTCCGCACATTCCTCAGACTCTTTGGCTGGTTGATATACACCTTTG